GGCTGCTGCTGCTGCTGCTGCTGATAGGGCTGCTGCTGATAGTGCTGAGGACACCTGAGTTGCTGCTGAGAAGCGGCACTTACTGTGGACTCAAGGTTTGCTGCTGCTGCTGCTGCTGCTGCTGCTGCTGCTGCTGCTGATAGTGCTGCTGCTGCTGCTGCTGCTGCTGATAGGGCTGCTGCTGATAGTGCTGAGGACACCTGAGTTGCTGCTGAGAAGCGGCACTTACTATGGACTCAAGGTTTGCTGCTGCTGCTGCTGCTGCTGCTGCTAGTAAAACTGCGTCTGCTGATGCTGCTGGCAATGATAATGATCTGCTGCTGCTGCTGCTGCTGATAGTGCTGCTGCTGCTGCTGCTCCTACTGCTGCTCGCTGCTGCTGATGCAATGGTGCCTATATATGTTGCTGCTGGCGATTAGCAGCAGCAGCAAACCTTGAGTCCATAGTAAGTGCCGCAGCAGCAACTCAGGTGTCCTCAGCACTATCAGCAGCAGCAGCAGCAGCAGCAGCAGCAGCACTACTGTTGCTGCTGCTGCTGCTGCTTCACAAAAGGATTGCAAAGGCGGTGGCACTTAGAATGAGCGAAATGGGTGAAATTCTGCTGCGTCTGCGTCTGCTGCTGCTGCTGCTGCTGCTGCTGCTGCTGCTGCTGCAGCGCATAAGTCGTTCGGGGTCTCTGGACTTGTCCATTAAATGGGAAGCAGAAAATTCGGAAATAAATTTTGATGATTGTCTGACTGATGTCAAGCAAGTTGCTGCTGCAACGAGAGAGCTCAAGGCCTCAGGTTAGATGCCCCTCAAAAGCTGCTGCTGCTGCTGCTGCTGCTGCTGCTGCTGCTGCTGCAGTCGCTGCTGCAGCAGGTGCTACTGCAGTCGCTGCTGCAGCAGGTGCTACTGCAGTCGCACCTGCTACAACAGCAGCAGTCACTGTTGTATCAGCTGCTGCTGCTACTGCTTCAGCAGCCGCTGCTGCAGCAGGTGCTGCTGCTGCTGCTGCTGCTGCTGCTGCTGCTGCTGCTGCTGCAGAGGAGTTTATTAGATTGCCTTCGTCGACGCGCCTCCTTAATGTATAAAGGAAGCAGTTTTCAGTGATGAATAATCTCCCTGAATTATTTATTTATCTATCTATTTATTTATTTATTTATTTATTTATTTATTTATTTATTTATTATTTATTTATTTATTTATTTATTTATTTATTTGATGTGGAAGCAGCAGCAAGCAGTGCGCAGCAGCTGCATTGACTTTGCTGCTGCTTCAAATTTTTCGAACTTTTCGGATTTGAAGCGGAATTAAGTGCAAATAAGTGCAAATAAGTGCAAATAAATGCAAATAAATGCATTAAAATGCATTAAAATGCATTAAAATGCATTTAATTGCATTAAAATGCATTTATTGGATTAAATTGGAGCAAATTGCGCGGAAATTGGGCACTTTGGGTGCTGCTGCGTGCAGGAAATGTGGGGCCGTTTGTGCTGCAGCGGATGGCGCAGCTGACAGTGGCAGCTGTACGTACACCCGAAACAGCAGCAGCAGGCGGCGGAGAGTCCCGCATTTCTTTTCAGATTTATTTAAATCAACCCGAGGCTCTGAACTCCCTCAACCGGCAGTTTGCTGCTGCTGCTGCTGCTGCTGCTGCTGCTGCACCTGCTGCAGCAGCAGCAACAGCGCCCACTTGCCCGCAGCAAAACGTCCGCAGCAGCCTTTTGGCTCTCAAGCCCCAAGAGACTGCCTTTGTTGCCACGTAAGAACAATTATAAATAAATAAATAAATAAATAAATAAATAAATAAATAAATAAATAAATAAATAATTAATTAACTTTTAATTTAATAATAATTAAATATTAATTTGATTTATTTTATTTAATTTGTTTTATTTGCAAAAGATTTGACGCCAAATGAAGTCGTTGGGCCACGCCGACGTTTTTGCTGCTCTTTTTTCTAAACCCTAAACCCTAAACCCTAGGAGATATTTCTAAACCCTACAAGATCTCTCTAAACCCTAAACCCTAAACCCTAAACCCTCAGTGCTCCCACTCCCACTACTCCCACTACTCCTGCTGCTGCTGCTGCTGCCCCCCCACCACTCTCTCCCCCTCCCCCTCACCGCCTCCGCCCCCTCTGCCGCTGCTGCTGCTGCTGCTGCTGCTGCTGCTGCTGCTGCTGCTGCTGCTGCTGCTGCTGCTGCTGCAGGTGGTTTTCGATTCCGCGCGAGAAGACCTACGGGTTGTACCCGCGGGACTTCCGCGTGCGGGTGTTTTGCCACTCAGCAGCAGACTGCAGTTTGGCTCAGTTTTCTTTTTGCTTCCGAATTGCCTGCCCCATAAAGTCTGCTGCAGCAGAAGCAGCAGCAGCAGCAGCAGAGGACGCCATGCAGCACCCCGTGGGGCCGCAGCAGCAGCAGCTCAAGGCCGCGCCGCTGCTGCAGCAGCAGCAGCAGCAGCAGCAGCTGCTGCTGCAGCAGCAGCAGCAAAAAGTCAAGCAGCTGCAGTTCAGAGGCAGGTACGGCTTCATTCCCTACTGGGCTGCAGCTGCCTATACACCCCAAACCAACTGGGCCGTCACTGCAGCAGCAGCTGCTGCTGCTGCTGCTGCTTTCTTTCTTTTCTAAACTAAGCAAGCAGCAGCAGCAGCTGCTGCTGCTGCTGCTGCTTTCTTTCTTTTCTAAACTGAGCAGCAGCAGCAGCAGCTGCTGCTGCTTTATTTTCTAAACTAAGCAGCAGCAGCAGCAGCAGCAGCAGCAGCTGCTGCTGCTGCTTTCTTTCTTTCTTTTCTAAACTAAGCAGCAGCAGCTGCTGCTGTGGGGCCCTCCTGCTGCAGCCCGTCTGCTTACAATTTATTTATTTATTTAACTTTTATTTATTATTTATTTATTTATTTATTTATTTATTTATTATTTATTTATTTATTTATTTATTTATTTATTTATTGTTGAACTTTTATTTTCAAGAACTCCTTCTTCGCCTCTTTGCCATTTATTGCTTTCTTTGCGGCCCACAGAAATTCAAAAAACAAAAAAGAAAACAAACTGGCGGCAAACACTTCAAATAAAAGAACTCATTCTATTTAATTAATTAAAGATAATTAATTAAATAGAATTAATTAAATATAATCAATTAAATATAATTAATTAAATAAAATTAAATAAAGAAATAAATAAATAAATGCAATTAAAAGAAAATTGAAGTTATTGAATTCTCTGAACTGCATTTGCCATCAAAGTCTGCGCCTTCGCCCCAAAGCGATTTGCGCTGTTGAGGACTTCAATCTGAAAAAAGAAATTAAAATAAATAAATAAATAAATAAATAAATAAATAATAAATAAATAAATAATAAATAAATAAATAATAAATAAATAATAAACAAACAATCAAATAAATAATAAATAAATAAATAAAAATAATAAAATAATAAATAAATAATAAAATTAATTAATAAATAATAATGAGTGAAATTATTAAATCCCCAAAAGCCTTTTATTGGCGGCATTGCAAATGTGGACTTCAAATCTTTGCAAACATTTTAATTTAATTTAATTTAATTTAATTAATTAATTAATTTAATTTATTAATTTAATTTAATTTAATTTAATTTAATTTAATTAATTAATTTTAAATGAAAGAATTAATTGAAAGGAATTAATTGAAGTCAAGTCGGGTCACCTGCCGTTTGTAGATCTGCGAAAGTTCGGCGAAGTTGGCGGCTGCGGAGAAAGCGAAAATAATAAACTGACAAGTTCAAAAAGACCCCTTCAAACCCTAAACCCTAAACCCTAAACCCTAAACCCTAAACTGCGAAGTTCAAAAAGAACCCTTTAAACCCCAAACCCTAAACCCTAGGAGGCCGTTCTAAAGCCTTCAGATCCCTCTAAACCCCAAACCCTCCGCGCTTTCAAAAAAAGAATCACCTGTTTCTTTGAAGCTTTGATCGAACAAAAATAAAAATAAAAATAAAAATAAAAATAAAACAAAATAATAAAACAATAAAAGAATAAAACTAAACTCCAATCTGAAAAGCGCCGGCGCTCACCTTCGACTGGCTGCTGAAGTCCAGGTGTACGTACACCTCAAGGATGGGCACTTTCCAAATTGCAAATTGCAAACTCACTTTTTCACTTTTGTTTATTTCTTCTTTTCCACTTTTGTTTATTTCTTCTTTTCCACTTTTGTTTATTTCTTCTTTTTCATTTTTGTTTATTTCTTCGTTTAAAAAAGAACAAAAAGGAACCAAAGAAGAACTAATTCTCCTCAGACGGTCCCGCAGCTGCGCAGCCGCCCGCCCGTCGATCGCCACAAAGCCGTAGGCCTGAGAAGGAAAAAAAAGAGAAATTTGGAACTCTTTTTGAATTAATTTAACAAACTTTGAATTCTTTTTCATTTAATTTATTTATTTTTGCTTTTTAAATTCTTTTTTTTCTTTTTTTTTTCTTTTTTGATCCAAAAAAATAAAAGGGGGTCTTCGAACCTCACCTGCCCGATCGCCAAGTACCCCGGCTGTCCCATCTGAAGGAGAAAAAGAAATTAAAAAGAAAATAAAAGAAATTAAAAAGAAAATAAAAGAAATTAAAAAGAAAATAAAAGAAATTAAAAAGAAATTAAAAAGAAATAAAAACAATTAAATCGAAATGAATTCAAATCGAGAAAAATCCAAACAGATCTGCACAGATCCCGTCCTTCCACGCGCCTTTCACACCCTAAACCCTAAACCCTAAACCCTAAACCCTAAACCCTAAACCCTAATTGCATTACCTTTTTCAAGATCTCGTTGACGATATCTGCGCAGCTTTTGAGCTGCGGCAAAAGGGGCGCAGCAGCAGCAGCAGCAGCAGCAATTCTGTCCAAGTTCTGCAGCAAATAAATAAAACCTTTTTTGCTTTTTTTGTTTTATTTAATTACTTCATTTTACTCCATTTAATCAACAGATTTAATTCAATTTAATTAATTCAATTTAATTAATTTAATTTAATTAATTAATTTAATTTAATTTAATTTAATTAATT